TTATTATTATTATTATTATTATTATTATTATTATTATTATTATTATTACTACTACTACTACTACTACTACTATATATGTGTGTGTATATGTATATGTATATGTATATGTATACGTATAGACACACACGCGCACATACACACACGTTGTGAACTTTAACATCCAGCTGATCGCATTCGGAATTAACAAGTACACTTTTATTCGATTGTAAGACATTGTCGGATTTAACGAGAGATGATGTTTTTACACGCTACACGTAGAACGTCGATAAAACGTACGAGTAAATATCATAATTTAAGTAGGTATTTGTATATGTGTACATCGTGGCTAACTTTTAGTCTTTGACTCGATTAAGGTGTACTTTTTAGAAGAATGAGATTCAAAGAGGTATCGCAGCTACGTTTTTTGTGATTTGCTAAATTATAGTAGTATCGTTGTGATATATAGAATTGCTTGGTTCCAAAGTACGCCGATCAAGGGAACGTCCCGGTATTGGTAAACAAAAGAACACGTATGGGCATGTTTTTCGGGTATCCCGAGAATCTTAGAACTTCCCGTATTCTTCGCACTTGACGAAGATAAACGACAGAAAGGATATCTCGTTATATTTTGGCCTTTCTTTTCATGCTCTAATTTAGAGACGTCACGAATTTCTCGAAACAATTCGCTTCATCTTACGCGTGGTTTTCAGTGACGACATTTTTCACTTGGCAGGAATACGCGTGAGAAATATAAAATAACAGATCTCTATCGTTTACTCTTTCGTTGGAGAAGATCCACCCTATGGAGACGTGCGACATTTCGTTATTCGATAATTTCGCGTTTACTCGATAACGAGCAAGTTTACGGAACTTTACGGAAATTTACTTGTTTCCCAATTTCACCGGCTTTTCGCCGGTTTTTCACCGATTTTTCACCCGTTTTATCCGTTCTTTCTATTTTCGCTTTTCCTCTCCGCTTCTCCTGCTTCCTCGCGTCACAGCCACATACCTCTCGCTCCTCGTTTACGATCGTTTCTTTTTCCGTCTGATTTTCATTCTTCGTTTGTTTGTCGATGTGTACCTAGAATTAAAAATTAATGGAATTGTATACTCTCAGTATCCGCACAAGGGCGGCGTATACTGCATACTTATATATATATACATATATATATAATGTGTACTTCCTAGGTAGAGAGTATTCATAGAATATTTATTCGCTGAAATAAATGGTTTTTCGATGAATGCTGTATCGATTTACTCTTTTTAAAACATTCTTTTCATTCTTAACGGGACATCCGATTTCTTTATCTTTTCCGCGAAACATTTCCTCTCGCGTAACCGTTTGGAAAGTGGAATTTTAATATCACGCGAAGCAATAGATATTTTGAATTGTTTTCGTTATTTCGTTATTTCGTTATTCGCAACGATGACTTATACTTTGTGCAATGCTTTGTTTTTCTTCTCTTTATTTTCTGCTCTAATCGGTGCGAGATTCACGGTTAGCATTTACCACGATAAACTTTCAGGCCATAAAACCGATTATTGTTTCACCGACTTATTTTTATTCGGTCAGTGGTATGAGGGGTAACGTAGCAAGTTTTTGGACGCGCGTAGCGAAAATTTCCTCGGATTAAACGTATAGTTGGCATGGCGTGGTAGGCGATTCGAGGTAGCGCGTACACATTCGCGCAAGCGAGTGGTATAATTCCTAAATCGTACACATACTTGTAACGCTATCGTTTTTCTTTTGTTTCGTTTCCTCGTCTTCTTTTTCCAAGCAAGTCAATGCTGCACGATATCGATATTTTTAATTTTTATCTCAGGTCAAAGTTAAACGAGCGAAAAGTATGTTTTGTTCGGGCCGATTAGTATTCGGTTAAAGAAATTTCATTCAAAGCAACCTTATTTAATTATACCCACTGCGAGTGACGTAACGCGTATTTCTTTTCTACCGATCGCGGTCTAACCATCGCAATTTTGCATGATGCCTACGCAACGATTCGCCGAAATGCCGCGTATCTGCTACGTTTCAGAGGAAGCGCCGTGTTCCGATGCGTACGATAGCGTGTTACCAACCATACGAAAATCGTTAACGCTTTTTCCTACTTTACCAATATTTATCCATTTACTCACGCGACGTACACGCGTCGACGATTAATCGCAACGAGTCGATTAATCGGAGCAGAGGATCCGATTACGTTTACTCATCGGATCATCATCAACATGGCTCAACGGTAGTCTGCATACCCTGATTTCACACGTATAGACACGCATATACGTACGTCTACGTACGTACCAACGAATATATATATGTATTTTTCGTATAAACCCGAGAAATAACGATGGCAAAGCTGCGTCGAAAAGTGATTATACCTAACGCAGTAACAAAATTGCACACTCGAAGGTAACGAGAATAAAAAAAGAAATCGTAATTGTTTTACGAAAGTTTCAAGACACCGATAAGAATTTATTTTGACCATTATTGTGCCATTATTTCATCGCGGCGCGAAAGCAACGATACCAATTACGAACCAAGCAGATAGAAATACTCGGACACTTGAAAAGTTTTTAACGGTAATCGGTGTTAACTCGACAACCGACAGAACGGCCTTCATTGTTCTTGGTTAAATTGTACGTAAACCTCGATAACGACCGACAGTCGAACGGAAATAATTGAAAGGCGATTTACCATATCGCGAATCGCGTCCAACGATTGTCCGTGATCTCGTCGCGTTAAGTCGTAAGGCAAAAACGTTTTAAGCTCGTTCGTCGAGTGATATTCCCTTTTTCTTTTCTCTCTCTTTTCTTTTTATTTCTTTTTCCTTTCGATTTTTCTCACTAAATCAACCTACGAAATTCGCTTTTAAATGGCGGAAGAATCGGAGCAGCGCGATACAGGCGTTGCGGAAAGTTGAATAAATACTCGGATGCCGTGGAGTATCGGCTTTGACGATACCGTAGAGGACAACCGTCAGAAACGCATGCCGAGATCTCGTTCGTGATACAATGTCGGATGCACGAGCGGACAAGTGAACCGGTGGACTTTACGACGGTCAACTGTTTCGCCAGACGTGCCAATTCTCGTTTTATTGTTTTTCTTCGACGTCGCCACCGCCGCTGCCGCCGTCGCCGTCGCCGTCGCCGTTGCCGCTGTCACTGCCGTTGACGACGACGACGACGACGACGACGACGACGACGACGACGACGACGACGCCTCGAGCACACGCGTCCTTGCCGACGGTCGAATTAGCGGGCTCTCCATCCGTCGAATGCGAAACGCGAAAACGTAACGCGTTCGCTAGCGAAATTCGGCACGCTACTATCGCCGAAACTCTCTTTTCCACGAACAACTCGAGGACTCGAGAAGAAAACGGTAAGGTAGCAGAATCGGTGGAGGATTACGCACAGGTGTCTAAGGGTGAAAGGGTGTGCGACCATGCGCCAGCGTACGGCCCTGCCATCCTCGTGTGGCCATGCACACACATGTGCAGAGCATGCGACACCGTGCGCCGACACCAAAAGGATCGACGGAGGA